TATGCATGATATTTATTTTTTATTTATTTATTGCAATATAAACCCCTTTTGTCTTTGACTCATATATTAATTGACACATTTAAGCATCTACATCTAGCTATCGTAAACAACTGATGCAAATCACCACATTTTTATTTCTAATTCTAACATTAATCTGTTTATTCATAAAATTGTAGATATGTAGAAATAGAAAAAAAACATTTGAAAGTATAAAGTCAGAAAAAAATGCACATTTGTAAAAAACAACCCTCAGTCTGTTGACACCAATGAAACGAGCTTTAAGTGTCCATTTACAGGAGATCTGAAGACATCAGCATAATAAATGAGGAGAAAACAGGAGCTAACAGGAGCTTATTTGACATGAAATAAAGAATCTTTTCAGCAGCTCTGTTAATATTGATGAGCCTCAGACGATCAACACTCATTCAACAAGACATTCAGGATCATCAGCAGATCATCTCACTTTATTAACTTTAGTGTCTGCTGTTAGAAACACATTAATTGAACTGCTCCACATTAAGACAATGCTGTTATTTCTCACAAGCTGACATGTATAAAACATCAATAATAACACAACACATAAGCAGGTATTAATTATATTTTTATAACCTGTCTTTTTTCATTAATTGTCTTTTTAGCTGCAATATTGTACAAATAATCTTCTAAGAGTGTATTAACACGGGCACACATTGAACACCTGTAGAAACCTGTTTTTGCATCAACTTTCAAGACTTTGTTTACTTAATTTACTTACAGAAAGCACTATGTCACTTTACTTTGGTTAATAATTTTTTTTTTATCCCTGGCATATATATATATATATATATTTTTTTTTTCCTTCTATGCACATGCACTTGTTTTTTTTCTGTATAACCTTTTTTTATTTGTTTTCCATAACTGTTGTGAGATGTATATGTTTGTACAAATATATGCACATAATTGCATTAAAAAAGCAGTTCAGTATCTTTCATTACAAAAGTCTTTACTGCTGACTCACTCTGGAAAAAACGTCTCTATAATGTAACTAAAAATCACCATCATGTCAGGTTTTGTCACAGCAGTTTACTAGAGAGAGAGAGAGACCCAAATGCAGAATGATCAAGGGAGTGAGGTTTATTGACAAGGCAAGGATTAACAGGGTTTATGTGAGAGTCCAAACAGTAGGAAAGGGCAGTCTGCTGGTCCTTGGTCAGACCTGGACAACGTTCTGTAGAGAACAAAGGAGATAGACCAGCACCAGTCAATGAGAACACTGGATATCAGGCAGCAGCTTGAGAAACCAGGGCTTGATACTTTGAGCTGTAGTGATTCCAGTCAGATAGCCAGGTCTTGAGAACAGCAGCCAGGAGGGATTCAGGACACAGAACAGGAACAAACACAAGACGACACAAGACAAGACCACAAGAGAGAACAAGCAGCAGCAAAATAACACACTGACTACGCACTATGACTAGAATGAAAAGAACAGAGACAAATACAAACTGCAGAGAGCAAATTAAACAAAAGAAAGAACCAAAAGGCAAACTCTAGAAATCGATAACTAGGATAAAACTGCACTGTAAATAGGTTTCTGTAGAAATGTTTACAGTATTAGTACTGTAATTGCATTTACAGTACAATATGTCTTTACTGTATTTTATTTACAGTATTATTACTGTATTTTCATTTACAGTATCAGTACTGTAGAGTTTATTTTCATTTAGTTAAAAAAATATTTACCTGTAAAAAACAAACCAATTGTGGTACTGCACTGTAAACCATGATTTTTACCATATCCAGCCCCCCGCCCCCCCCCACCCCCACCCCCCCCCCCCCCGCGCCCTTGAGCAAGGCACCGAACCCCAACTGCTCCCTGGGCGCCGCAGCATAAGTTTAACATTTTCTTTTTAAAAGTACAAATTACAAATCTTGACCTCAGATGCACTAGCTTAAAAAAATGGTATCACCACAGTCCCCCAGGGACTTTGTATCATGGAAAAAACATACACATACTCAAAAAACATACACATACTCAAAAATTGGCAAGTACACTACCAGTCAAAAGTTTTTAAATGTTTTTAAAGTCTCTTCTTTTTAAGTCCTATTAATATCCATATTTAAAACAGTTGAGTAATTTTTTTTCAGGATTCTTTGATGAATAGAAAGATCTAAAGATCAGCATTTATCTGAAATAAAAAGCTTTTGTAACATTATACAATATACCATTCAAAAGCTTGGAGTCAGTATAATTTTGTTCTTTGGGAAAGAAATGATATAAATTACTACTTTTATTTAGCAAGGATGCTTTAAATTGATCAAAAGTGATGATAAAGACATTCAGAATGTTACAAAATATTTATATTTCAGATAAATGCTGTTCTTCTGAACTTTCTATTTATCAAAGAAACCTGAAAAATTCTACTCAGTTGTTCAGTCATAAAAACAATAATAATAATAGTTTTCTGAGCAGCAAATCAGAATATTAGAATGATTTCTGAAGGATCATGTGACTGGAGTAATGATCCTAAAATTCAGCTTTGATCACAGGAATAAATTACATTTAAAAAAATATTCAAATACAAAACAGTTATTTTAAATAGTAAAAATATTTCACTGTTTTTGCTGTACTTTGGATCAAATAAATGCAGGCTTGGTGAGCAGAAGAGACTTCTTTAAGAAACATTAAAAATCTTACTGTTCAATAACCTTTGACTGGTAGTGTAAATAAAATACAGTAAACATGAGTTTGTGGTGTTGTGTTAAATTTCAGTCATTTTGACAGTAAAAGTTGACAAGCTCTCTGATGAGAAACAGCAGGATGGGATTCAGGCTGCACCCTCTTTCCAGAATTCCAGCTGATCTGTGACTTTCAATGCATTTGGTGCCACAAATGTTGACTGTCTGCATGAACCTGCAAGCACAAGAAAAAAATAACATTATTTATCAAAGCAGTGTTTACAGAATTTGCCTTGACTGTCAAACTTGTTGGTGCTGTACGCACTTTGACGTTAATAAAAAAAAACTTGATATACTACATCTGAACGCACCTACAAGGAAGGTACATAATTAGTTGA